CATTGTGTCTCCTGACTGCTAGTTGGTGTTCATGGATGCACTCTGCTAGTCTTCTGCCTGTCTGTCCTACATAGTGGCTGTTTCCGTCCTTTCCCTCTTAATTGTTTATTGCTCCCGTTTTTTTTTTTTTTTTTGGGTTCTTCTCCTGTTTTTTTTTTCTTCTTGGGCTACTGAGTCTTTTGGTTTACTTAAGATGTTTTGGAGGCTTTAGTTGACTTGTGTGCTACAGTGATTCCGTGTGGCTGTAATAGTCTGCTGGTTGTTTCTGAGATGTTTTTGATGTACGGCACTGTTATCCTTTTCATAATTTGTGTTGGTTGTGCTGTAGTGGTCAGGCACTTTTTGATAAGACACGAGCAAAGCTCTTAATCTCACAACACATGGACAGACTTAACCACAGTTTCAACTGGGAAACTGTGAGCATCCTAGACCAAGCCAAATCCAAAAACACTGGGGAATTTCTGGAAGCTTGGCATTTAGACAAATCAGCCATCAATAGACACATCAAATAATCCATATTTACAAACCATTCAAAAGAGACAATAAAAAGCTAAGAAGGAAACAGAAACACCAGAACACATCCCCTCCAGCAGCCAATACCAAGATAAGCAGGGATTAACACCAGACAAACAATCAAGCAGACAACAATATCCTAATCAAGGAATGACCAAGGAGAAAACCTCACCCCCACCAGCCCTGGCAGGGCAAGCTACTGTATATAAACAGGGAGAAAACTCCACATTCACTAGCACTGACGATGTTACCTAGTTGGGTAATGAAATCTCTGCAAGTAAACAACTAAGTTCAGAGAACACCAAGAACTCCACAGTTCAACTTTGAGCTACATATACATATTACAACTCTGATCAGAGTGAAAGCTCAGATGCTGTTGAAATAACCCATTAACTGGGATATCCCAGAGGAAAGAGTTAATGATGTACACGTGCCAGTCCCTACTAAAATCAGAATTCAACTGGTAAAGGTTTTCTGTGTTATTGTCTTGTCCTAATTATTGGAGATCATGAAATGAGAAATAACTTGCTTGGTGAACATCTGCATATTTCTTATTTTATAACTTAATAACTTTGGCAACAATTGTTTTTAAAAATTATGTACAATATTTTCATAGTTCCTGCTGCTGTGCACGAAGAATGGGTTTTGAGCCATTTAGAGTCATATAAGGTTGCTATTTGTTTTACATAAAGTACACATTACTTTTCTGCTAAAAAGATGGCAAGTAATGATAGATTTTCCACTTTCTGAGATTTACTGCTGTGTTTTGAAATAAATATTGTAAAGGTCATCTGGTTGATAAGCAAGTGCCACTATGACTACTAGCAGTCTCCTGCTAGCTTCCAGATTACTTGGGACAAGAAAAAAATGGATTGTAACTAGATAGCTATTCTTTCCTGAATCTTGAATAAAAGTCTCACACTTTTATGACATGCTTGTAATTACATTTTTGCAGAACAACAAAGAAAATGTGAAATGTGAAAAGGATAAAAAGTGGGTTACAAGTGGCAGGCAAATAACTCAAGCGGATATAGAAGAAGTTTGGCGAAATGTTGTTATGATACAGTGAGTAACAGATGTGTTTCCTTTATCCCTAAATTTTAGATATGAGGATAAAATAATTAATTTCTGGGGAAAGATTATTCTGGTGTCCCAGTGATCTTTCAAAAACAATACCCTTCAAAGCCTTTTTTTTTTTAAAGATTTTTTTATCCCACCTTTATTATTTTTATAAATAACTCAGGGCAGTGAATATACCTAATACTCCTTCCTCCTCCTATTTTCTCCACAACAACAATCCTGTGAGGTGAGTTGGGCTGAGAGAGAGTGACTGACCCAGACTCACCCAGCCAGCTTTCATGCCTAAGGCGGAATTAGAACTCAGTCCCCTGGTTTCTAGCCTGGTGCCTCAGCCACTAGACAAACTGGCTGTCTTCCATTTTATCGTTTTATCGATATGTAAACTTATTTTATGTTATATGCACTTGCACTGCCACAATATTTTGAAAAGTAAAATTATGCAAACTTACATACCAAACTGATGAAAAAAACTTGCATTTCTAAATATCACTTCTACTGTATCATAAAAAGTTCATTTATTTTAATTACTTCAATGACTAAGTATGATAAAGGAAATATTTCATCTATAGAGGAAGTTGTATTGTCCATGCAGAACTTCATCAAATTGCTGCTAGACTTAAAATGACAGTTTCTTTCAGCATTTTTCTTGTGTGATCTCACTAATAATCTGATTCATTGGCCCTAGGATGCTTTAGGTAATACAGGGAAATTTATATGTGCAAAACTTGTTCCAGGAATGGAGCATTCTGTGAAACACAGGAATGTTATGTTTTTCTTCCAGACCACACCAATCCAGCCTTTCTAGATTATCAGTTTTACAGAAGTACATCTTCCAGAATTGAAAGTAGTTTGTGATATTTCAGCCTTGCAAACAACTTCCTGTCTGAGAAGATTTACTTGGAGAAAACTATTCACTTGTTTCCAAAACAGATGGATCACCATAGTTTGTTATTCCCCTGAATGTTCCATAATCAGAATAATAAATTTTGCACATCTCTAGAATTTTGGACTAGTCCTTTTAATGCAAGCTAAGAAGGAGATAATTCTGCTGTATTAAATGTTATTTAACTCTTTTTGTCACCCCATGATTAAGTCAGCATGGTATATAATTTAGCTCGTAGACAGTGCCATGTAAAATATAATTTTTATTATTTCTGGGTTGCCTGAAGCAAGATATGTTGAATTTTCACAAATTCAAATTCAAATTGAGAACTTTTGAAAGAGATTTGTTAAGTTTCTGAGTTGATTACATTTTTTTTTCCTCTTCGTAGTTTGCAAACTATTTTAGGTATACCATCTTTAGAACACATCTTGCAACCAGAACAAGTAATTCCTTCCTACATAATATATAACATGACTAATACAAGTAAACATGGAGTTGTTCTTCTACAAGATAAATCAGGCAAGTCCTATAATGTAATTTTTAAAGTGTTTCGGTTCTTTCCAACTTAAACATGAGCAAATTGTGATATAATATTTTTGTATTTGGGGATGTAACAATTGTATTAAATCTAACAACTGGATCTGCACACATTTAATGGAAAACTACAATGTCTTTAGCACTCTAGATAAATATATTGTAGCATTTTGGTTTAATAATAGATAGTTTTAGCTGAAATGCAGTCTAAAATTAGTAATCAAAATTTTAAAAGTTGACATATTAAGTGTGTGCCATTTCTCAATTTACTATTTGAAATATTAAACATTTACTATTTGAAGTATTAAAAATAAACCAGTGTTGGGACTGGGAAAGGTATAGTCAGATTCCCATTCAGTCACAAAAAGAGTTGCCATGAGTGATAAGGCTCAGCATGATTATACCTATACAGTAATTATGACATTTAAAGTGAGGTGCTTTCTAAGTGTTTTTCTCTGTGTATTGTTGTATTCCTTGGATGAATGATGAAATACAAATAGAACAAATATGTTTAACTAGCTTGGTTATGAAAATAAGAGCTGGTAAATCTTTTTTCTCCCCCATTTCTTGCAGAAGATTTCCCTCACTGGGTATTGTCAGCTATGAAGTGTTTGGCAAACTGTAAGTTAGACATATATTAGGAAAATGCAATGCAAAAAAAATTAAACAATGGGAATGCTATACTTGTAGGTTCTATTCAATTATTTTGTTCTAAGTGTCATAGTATCTGAATTTAGAAGACAAATGTGAGATAAGAATAAAGACAAAATGCTAATAAAAAAAGAATACAGATCCACAATATACAGAACAATGGGGAAACGTGCATCAAAAATAGAGAATGAACCTGTTCTTTATAATGGCAATTCTTAACATTGTCTTGCTGTATCATGCATAAATAGATAAAGTCTTATATCCAGTAGTATCCAGTTTAGTTTCATATATTTCATCTGACAAATTGTTAATGTAGGATGTTAGAAAAGCAATGCTATGCTATTCCTGGTTCTTGAAATATCATGGAAATCAGTGTTGTTGAGATTTATTTCCTTTTGCATTTTAGGGCCTAGATGTAATGACATGAGTCAGCCAACATACATGGGTTTTGAGCGAGATGTATTCAAAACAGTTGCTGACTATTTTCTCAGTCTCCCTGAACCTTTGCTTACTTTTCGGTACTATGAATTATTTGTGAAGATCTTAGGTATGTACCCATTCAGATCAGGGTGATACAGAATCCTGGTTTACAGTTGAGATGACCTAAGATACCATGAGTATGTATACTAGTTTTGGAAAGAAGTATGTCTAGTTTCATAGAAGAAGTAATCAATTATAAAGTGTGATTACTATATGTAATAACAATCTTAGCTTTTGTGCAGACTGCTAATCATAATATGATTTGTTATGTGTACTCAGTCTTGCATATGTGACCTATCCTTTGCATGTATGTTTCTGAATACCTTCTGACTGAACATATAGTCTTTCAGCACCACTAACTTTTAAATATTAATCTCTATTTTAATTTTTCTGATTATATCGCTTGTGCTTCTAAATTGCCTGCATTTGAATTTGTATTTCATTTTCTGATAGTTTTGTGTGGCTACATCACAATCCCAAACAGATCCAGTGGAAAATTTGGTATCCAGAATGATTTGGTATTTTCAAAACCTTCTCATTTAAACTCGTTCAAGTCAACTGAATGTCTTCTGTTAAGTTTGCTTCATCGTGACGCTGACAAAGAGGATGAATCTGAGACTTCTGATAAAGGTTCTAAAAGGCATACAAATGAAATGGGATGCAGTATGAATTTTCAGCACTCTAACATGACTTGTAAAGGTGGCGCTATTCATGTACAAAAAGGTGGCAGTTGTCAGAATCTTTCACAGCTGAAAAATGAACATACTCTGCCTCTGAAGCTTAAGACAAGATGTCACTCTTTGGAGGGAATTGCAGATACAACCTCAAGCAAATGTAGTAAAGATGGATTTAAACAATTTTCTCAAGCTGGAATTCATATGGTGCCGTTGACAAGTAATGAGAACAAACTGTTGTGCTTTGAGAATAAGCCAGTCTCCTCACTGGATCTTTGTTCGGATAACATTAGTGAAAAACAAACTCATGGCTTCAGGGGAGTTTCTGCATCAAGTTTTCCTGGCCAAGAGCAATCCAGTGCTAACCACAAATCAAAACAACTTTGCCGGTCTCAAAGTTTATGTGGAATTAGAAACTCCAGTTGGTGTGGCATACATGCTCCAGTTGCAGAGATTACAGTGAAACCACATCCAGTAAACCTTGGTCCCAAAAGTCAAAGCACTACCAGAATGGCTGTTAAAATAGGAAGTAAATCTGTGGGTTCTGATATGGCTATCAATAAAAGATTCCACAAAAGTACAACACAGCTTTCAGAATACATGTTTTCTCCCAGCTCCTTTACGCTGCCTGGCACATCACGTAAGATTGCTTTGTGGAGCATGTTTGTGTGCATTTGTACTAACTAGCTTGCTTTTCTGCTTTTTTTTTTTAAGGGGGGTGTTTTTGCCAATCCCAGTATTTTAAGTGACTTAATAGTTCCAACAAGATTTGTCAAGAGACTCTTTAGCCTGTGAGGTTAAATAATTTTTAAGCTAATACTATCAGCTCTGCAAGCATCAGTATTTTCCAGAGTGCATGATAATGCAAAATGTATGTTTTCTTGTTCATGCTGGTATTTCTATAACTCAAGATTATATCAAGTAACTTAGATTTAACTTAAATCTTTTGCATTGTGACTTTAAATGACTAATCACTTAGCAGACAGTAGGAGAGGCAGTGTGCTGTAGTGGTTAAAGTGTTGGACCAGGACTGGGGAGACCTAATTTCAAGTGCAGCCTCAGCTGTGGAAAATCACAGGATAATTTTGGGTCAGTGACTCTTTCAACCCAATCTACTTCACAGGATTGTTGTGAGGATAAAATTAAGGGAGATCCCCATGTAAATTATCTTATGCTTCTGGAGAAAAGCCTAGGCCAGTGTTTCTCAACCTTGGCCACTTTAAGATGGGTGGACTTCAATTCCCAGAATTCCCCAGCCAGCC